GAGAGAACATGAGCAGGGGGAGAAGCAGGCCCCCCCGCTGAGCAGGGAGCCTGATGTGGGGCTTGATCCCAGGACCCTGGGATCATGACCTGAGCCAAAGGCAGACGTTTAACCATCTGAGCCACCCAGGCGCCCCTGAATATAGGTCTTTCATATATGGCCTTTATGATGTTGAGGTATGTTCCTTCTGTCTCTACTTTCTTGAGGGTTTTTTATCAAGAAAGATGCTGTATTTTGTTAAATGCTTTTTTTGCATCTATTGAGAGCATCATATAGTTCTTATCCTTTCTTTTACTGACGTAGTGTATCACATTGATTTGTAGATGTTGAACCACCCCCTGCAACCCAGGAATAAATCCCACTTGATCATGGAAAATAATTCTTTTTTTTAAGTGTCTTTTTTAAAGATTTATTTATTTATTTGAGAGAGAGAGAGAGAATGAGAGAGAGAGAGAGAGAGCATGAGAGAGGGGAGGGTCAGAGGGAAAAGCAGACTCCCTGCTGAGCAGGAAGCACAATGCAGGACTCGATTCTGGGGCTCCAGGATCATGACCTGAGCTGAAGGCAGTTGCTTAACCAACTGAGCCACCCAGGCACCCATTATGGTGAATAATTCTTTTAATGTACTGTTGGATTTGATTCTCTAGTATCTTGTTGAGAATTTTTGCATCTGTGTTCATTAGGGATAATGGTCTGTAACTCTCCTTTTTAGTGGAGTCTTTGTCTTTTTTTTGGAAACAAAGTAATGGTGGCCCCATAGAATGAGTTTGGAAGTTTTCCTTCCATTTCTGTTTTTTGAAACAGTTTGAGAAGAATAGGTATAAACTCTTCTTTAAATGTTTGGTAGAATTCCCCTGGGAAGCCATCCAGCCCTGGACTGTTGTTTGTTGGAGATTTTTGATTACTGATTCAATTTCTTTCCTGGTTGTGGGTCTGTTCAATTTTTCTATTTCTTTCTGTTTCAGTTTTGGTAGTTTATATGTTTTAGGATTTTTTTTTTAAGATTTTATTTATTTGACAGGGAGAGACACAGCGAGAGAGGGAATACAAGCAGGGGGAGTGGGAGAGGGAGAAGCAGACTTCCCGCTGAGCAGGGAGCCCGATGCGGGGCTCCATCCCAGGATCTTGGGATCATGACCTGAGCCGAAGGCAGACGCTTAACAATTGAGTCACCCAGGTGCCCCTGTGTTTTAGGATTTATCCATTTCTTCCAGGTTGCCTAGTTTGTTGGCATATAATTGCTCATAATATTCTCTTATAATTGTTTGTATTTTTTTTAGTATTCATTGTGATCTCTCCTCTTTCATTCATGATTTTATTTATGTGGGTTTTTTCTCTTTTCTTTTTGATAAGTCTGGCTAGGGGTTTATCAATTTTGTTGTCTTTCAAAGAACCAGCTCTTAGTTTCGTTGATCTGTTCTACTGTTTTTTTGATTTCTATTTCATTTATTTCTGCTCTAATCTTTATTATTTCTCTTCTTCTGCTGGCTTTAAGCTTTATTTGCTGTTCTTTTTCCAGCTCCTTTAGGTGTGCTGTTAGGTTGTGTTGCCAAACTGGTTTTTGACAAAGGTGCAAAAGCAATTCAACGGAGGAAGGTTTGCTTTCTCAACAAATGGTCCTGGAGTAATTGGACATCCATAGGCAATAAAATGAACTCTGACCTAAACTTTACACCTTATACAACAATGAACTCAAAATAGATCACAGACTTACATGTGGAACATAAAAAAATATACAACTTTTAGAAAATAAAACAAGAAAGAAATCATCAGGGTCTAGGGCTAGCAAAGGTTCTTAGACTTTACACCAAAAGTATAATCCATAGAAGGACAAGGATAAATTATTGCTCTATGAAAGTTCCCTTTAAGAGGATGAAAAGACAAATGATAGAACAGGAGAAACCACTTATGAGACAAAATACTTTATCCAGAATGTTTAAAGAATTCCCAAAACTCAATAGTAAAAAAAAAAGGAACAACCCAATTAGAAAATGGGCAAAAGACATGAGCAGAGCCCTCACCAAAGAGGATACATGGATGGTAAAAAACACATTAAAACACATGCAACATCATCAGCCACCAGAGAAGTGAGAATTAAAACTACAATGATATATCACTATAGACCTATTGAAAAGGCTAGAAAAATTACTGACAACACCAATGCTCGTGAAAATGTGGAGACATTGGATCCCACATACATTGCTGGTGGGAATTTAAATGGTAAAGCGACTCTGGAGAGCAGTTTGGCAGTTTCTTCTAAAACTAAACATGCGATTACTTTCCTACCCAGTAATTGCAATCTTGGGCATTTATCCCAGGGAAATGAAAATTCATGTTCATGGAAACCTGTACATGACTGTTCATAACAGCCCTAACCTGAAATCAGCCCAAGTGTCTTTTAATCTGGTAGATGGTTAAACAAATTATTCCACAGAATACTATTCAGCAATGAAAATTGGTAAGTTGGATGGATTTCAAGGGCATCATGGAGGAAGGGCTGCTTTTTCAACAAATGGTCCTGGAGCAATTGGACATCCACAGGCAAAAATAGGAAAAAAAGCCAATCTTTTTTTTCTTCTTTTTTTAAAGATTTTATTTAGGGGCACCTGGGTGGCTCAGTCATTAAGTGTCTGCCTTCGGCTCAGGTCATGATCCCGGGGTCCTGGGATCGAGCCCCACATCGGGCTCCCTGCTCGGCCTCCCCCTGCTTGTGTTCCCTCTCTCGCTGTGTCTCTCTCTGTTAAATGGATAAAATCTTTAAAAAGAAAATAAAGATTTTATTTATTTGTTTGACAGAGAGACAGCGAGAGAGGGAACACAAGCAGGGGGAGTGGGAGAAGGAAAAGCAGGCTTCCCGCTGAGCAGGGAGCCTGATGCATGCGGGGCTTGATCCCAGGACCCCTGAGATCATGATCTGAGCCGAAGGCAGGCGCTTAACGACTGAGCCACCCAGGCACCCTGGAAAAAAAGCCAATCTTAAAAGGTTTCATACTGTATCCTTCCACTTACATAGCATTCTTGAAATAAAGTTATAAAGATGGAGAACAAATTAGTGGCTGACAAGGGTTAGGGATGGGCGCAGGTGTGGCTATAAAAGGATAGCACCAGGGAGCCTTGTAGTAATGTCATAGTTCTGTATGGTGATTGTGGTTACAGGAATCTACACACATATTGCATAAAACCACATATACGAATGCATGTAAAACTGGTGAAATATGAATAAACTCTGTGGATTGTACCAATGTCAATTTCCTGGTTTAATACTGTACTGTTACCACTGTGGGGAACTAGGTGAAGGGATATAGGGAAACCTCCCTGTACTTTTTTTGGGGCCACCTCGTGTGAATCTATAATTATTTTTCAACAAGTTTAAAAACATCTTAATTTTTTAAAAATTCACTGACTTTTTCACCTTTTTTTTTCCCCCAAGGGAGATTTGGTGGGGCTTAAGGGTTTAAGCAGGGTTGTGACATTTGGATAGATCTTCCTGGTGGTTTCTTAGAGGATGGATATGAGGGAGGGCAAGACTAGAAGCAGAAAGATATATATTTTATTGATTCTAGGAGGCATTTTGTTTTTTCATTTTAACATCTAAATTGGGATGTTTCATTATAACTATCAGCCAGACAGTAGTCATACTGTATTTGTCATACCTACTCAGAAGAATTAAAACTTGTGAAATGGGTGTCTGAGGCTTGGAAGAAAATTCCAGAGACAGAAGAGGAACATTCTTTTAAGAAATGCTGCATCACCACAGCCCTTGATGGCATGCACAGAGGGCTATATTGTGTGAAAAATCATGGACATCTAAGGCTGAGTCAGAAAAAAAAAAAAAAAAAAAAAGAATCCTAGGAGTCAGCCTCTGAATGTGAAGTTTTGGGACTATTGTTACCCTGTTACTCTTTTTAAATTTCCTTTTTATGTACGCACAAGAGTGAACTATTATAGAATCTGTATCTGTATAAATCTACACTTTCAATAAATATAAAATAAAAATTCGAAGTGATAAGAAAGCGTGGTGTCAGTTTATTTGCTACCTTTTTTTCTTAACGGGAGCTAAAATAATGGTTACGTTTTAAAACTGATGGCGTCCAGGCAAGGGATAATAGCCTAAAGTGAGAGTAGGACCATGATAAGAGGGGGAGCGAATCCTTGAGAAACGAAGAAGGAAAAATCGACTCAACTTTGGTGAATTATCAGAGGAGGGGTACAGATGAACAGGTAAGGAAATCTAGGATGGTTTCCAGGTTTTTAATTTGGGCAACTGAGTCGATGTGGTGACCTATGTGGAAGGGATAGAAGGGGAGGGCTTGCAGGGGGAGTTCGTTTTAGGAAACATTGCTTGAGGAGCTTGCTGGCTATGTTGAAGGGAAAAGATGAATGAAGCCTTCGTAATTGCTCTGGAGGGACCGAACCCCGCGCCCGGTACTGGGTGACAAGGGCCCACGGCTCTGCCTCGATGGATTCTGCACCTCAGAGCTGTTTGTGAGGGATGGGAACGTAGGGTCTGCGCGCCCCGCTGTGAGTAGACGGCGGGACCGCCTCGTTACCTAACACTCTGGGGTCTGGGCAACAGCAAGCTGAGGCCCGCCAGCGACTGTGATTGGCTGGAGGTGCGGGCGCCGGGGGCCGTGGGCGGGCCCGGACTTCAGGAACTGCTCAGCGATTGGCTGGCAGGTACCCAAAGAGCCTCAATCAAACTGTTGGCCCCGCCCTTCCAGGGAGCTGGCGCGTATTTCCACTCAGCCCTGTCGCTTAGTTAGACTGGTAAGCAAACTATAGCTGTGGTGGTCAGTGAACGATCCCCTCGGCCACCGCTCCTTCGCGGAGACCGGCTGTGAGAGGAGAGCTGGGATTGGCCAACTTGCAGGGGCGGGGCCCGCTCGGCCTTAGTCGGGCTCTGCTTCGGGACGGGCGCCTGTCCTGGGCGTCTATTGGGCTGAGGGATTGTCAACGTTACTGGGAGGCGTGGCCGACGCTAATAAAGTGTGGGACCCGCGCGGCAGCTGCGGTAAGTTGCACCGCAGCTAGAGCTCCGGGTGGTCAGGTGGGGGCGGAGCTTGGCGGCTCCGTAGACTTCAGCCGCAGCGTTTCCCCGGCCGGGTATCTGGCCGCAGCCTCAGGAGACAAGACGGATCCCTCAACCGTCACAGAAATGTAAGTTGACTCTGGTGTGGGGGGCTCGACACCTCCTTGCCAACTCCCACTCCCAGCGCCGGACTCTGCGGGACGGAAAATGGCGCATTGCAGCAGCTGCGGCGACGCGGGGAACCACCACCGCGCGCCGCCCCCAGACCTGTCCGCCCCTGGGGAGGGAGGGCAGCACCCCATTCCTGCAGCAGCCACGCCAGCACCCGACGGGCGGGGTAGGGGCGCCGGGGTCCCACCTTCATGGCACTCTCTCCTCTCGCCTGCTGGGCGCCCCGTTCAGGTCTCGGTAATAGTGAAGCCCGGGACAGGGCGAAGGTGGGGCATGGAGAGACATCGGGGAGGGGGTTCGAGACCCTTTCTTGTTGTCTGATCGAATCTGTACTTAGGGCCTCTGGAAACAGTAATGGGTGCACCTGCCAGTTAGTAACTTGAATTGCCCTGCAATCTCCGGATTTATGTATGCCCCTCGCCCCAACTGTGCCGTGTTACCCTACTCGCCCACCCCCTCTTGGCGGTGAGCAAAGAACCAGAAACTTATCTGACAGTTCTTTGGCGCCAGGTGAGCAGCTCAGAACGACTCAGGGGGCAGTGGCATGTGATTCCAAGCAGCCATTCATCTCAAGGCCACCTGTATAGAAGCTGTTTTCCTGTCATCCGGTTTTAGCCAAGTATTTGGAAGAGAAATAGAACTGAGGATCCCTGCCTTCCCGCAACAATTCAATTTAGTCTCTGACCCCCTTCAACACAGCCCCCATCCCAAGATCCTGAGGGAGAACTGTGGCGACACCACTATATATTTAATAGAGATTTTTTTCTTTCTTATTACTGTCTGGAGTCCTGGCTTGTCCTAGATATATTTATGTTGCTTCTCTTAGTGACAAAAAAGGGAAAAGATTTATTTATGTGACATATGGTTTATGATTACCCCTGGATGTTTTATTGCTGAGTGTTCCCAACTCCCAACAAATAGTGAAATGGTCCCTTCAGACGCTTTATAACAATTTCGTTTTTTCTCTATTTGATTTCTACAGTTTTAACTGTATGTGATATTCTAAGCATTTTGGCCAAGCCCTAAGGTTCCATTCGCACCCCCCCCCCCACACACACACACTTTGGGAAGGAGGTGAATGGACTCGTTCCCAACAGCACACATGTGGGATGAACTGAAGGAAATGGAGAAAGCGTGGTGACTAGCAAGGCATCACGAGGTCTCTGACCTTAATCTTGTCATTGGTGCCACCATCCTGGACTGCTTCCAACACCAAATACTGGCTGCTAGCTACTCACTGAATTTTCCACCTTCAGAGAACTAGATTGCTTAGCTCAGTAGTAACATAAGAGTCTTGTGGCTTCCATGGCTTAGTATCTTTCTTTCTTTTGCTTCTTTTGTGCTTTAGAGGGAGATGAGAAAGTGATTTCTTTTAATGGGGTTGAGTTGGGTGTAATCTGCTAGTAAAGCCTCTCTGAAGAGTTATTCTTTATCTTTTTAGACCAAAAGAAATTCACTTAGGGAGGAAGAATTTTCTGGGTATTAGTTCTATTGTGAGTAGTCAAGGCATTTCCTTTTTGGTGACTTGTGATGCTATAATTCCTAATGCATTTACTCTTGTACTGCTCCTGGGAGGTATGTTTGGTGAGACTGTGCCCCTCTGTGAGGCGTTCTTGCTATAACTTCTATTCTCCATCAAGTTTGAGAGATCTCCCTCTGTTGGTGGGTTCTTTCTTGGGAGAGAAAAATCTCATGCCTTAGGTTAGATTTCTGGGAATTCTTTAGGAGGTGAATTTAGTCTCTGTGTGTTGGGACATGAAAGGAGTTTATCTTGAAGACCCACACTAGATTCATCCCTTCTAAGGCTAAGGGAAAGAAAGGACAATCTCTGTGTGTAGTAGTGTGAACCAGGATTTCCCTTTGAGACATAAAGCACTAGGGGAGCCTCCTGAGACCTGATGCCAAATCTAGAAAAGGAAGGGACATGATGTCTATGATGCATTACATCGAGGACCATTACTCATATTCTTGCTTCCTGTCTCTGCTCTTGGAGAAATTTCATAACTAACACAATTGCCTGGCACCCCAGGTCTATCTAATGAAACACCCATCTTCTCTGCCAAAAACAAAGCAAGCGAACAGTCCTGACTCAACTCTACCTACAGAAGCCTTGCCTTTGGTGATTCTCCAAGTTGTCCTTACAGCAGCCCCGATACACTAGTCATTGTGTGAAACAACTAATAACCGGTTTCCCTTAAGCAAGGTCTGTCAACTTGCTTGTCTTCTTTAGACTTTGCGTAAAAGAGCTGTTCGGTCCATAGGCGTTAGTCTTTTGTACGAACTTCTAAACCTGGAGAGGAATTTTCCAGTTTGACTTTATGTGAAAGGCTTTTTTTTCTGTCAGGGAAGTGCCATTTAGTCCAAGGCTGGCACATTTGTCCCTGTAGCCATGTCCCTGTAGAGGATGTTTGAATTTGGGTGAAAGGATAGCCCCAAACAGGATCTCTTGATGCCACCCTGGATGTCCTTGAACCCCACGTAAATGTTGTTACAGGATCTTCCATCTCTTGCTTCTTCCTCTATGCTGCATCTCCCTACTTGGAGTCGCCAAGAAGTTAGAATCCTTTCTAGTTGCAAGGTAGCCTAATCACCATTGTGTTCGTGGTAGGGGGTGAGAATGCACGTGATTCCTTTCTTGTCTCAGTTACTTTGTGTACTTGGTCCGCTTCCCTCTGCAGGTCTGCTCCAGCTCAGCCACCCACTGAAGGGGCAGAAGGGACTGCCCCAGGAGGGGGTCCCCCTGGCCCTCCTCCTAATACGACCAGTAACAGACGACTACAACAAACCCAGGCACAAGTGGAGGAAGTAAGTGGAGAACTCTTTCTCTTGAGAGTTTCCAGATGATGCAAGTTTAGAAACTTTTTTTTTTTTTTTTAAATAGAGGGGTAGCTAAAAGCTCTGGGAAGCAAGGCATCCCTGAGTTACACAGGGCCAGACTTGAGATTCCATTGTTTTTACCCCTGTCTCTAGCAGGGAAGCTTACTAGCTTTGTTTCTGCACCCCCTCAGGTGGTGGACATCATGCGTGTGAATGTGGACAAGGTCCTGAAGAGGGATGAGATACTGTCACAGCTGGATGACCGAGCTGATGCCTTGCAGGTGGGAGCGTCACAATTTGAGAGCAGTGCTGCCAAGCTAAAGAGGAAGTATTGGTGGAAAAACTGCAAGGTGAGTTGTCTTGTCCTCTCTGCCTTCTCTTCCTGGGCCTCAACTCATAGAAGGCAAGAAAACCCTCAGGTTCTACCTTCCTCACCTCTGGTGGCGCAGGATCTCTGCCCTGCCGAACTCTGGGGAGGAAATCTGAAAGCCTCCTTGAGATGCATTACCCAGAATTGGCTGCCAGGGTAGGCCAGAGTACTCAGAACCACTAACTGGGTGCCAGCCCTATGTGAGGAGCTCGGAAGTGGTCAGTCAGGCTGCTTTTCCCCAAAGACCCCTGGGAAAATCTCGCCTGGCCCTTCCCCACACACAGCCAACATCCACACGATGGCTAGGGTAGGTATATATTTAAATACCTGCAGCTTTTAGGAATTAGCGGAATACTTCACAATGAAAAATGAACCAACTGACTAAAGATCCCAAGTCTGCACCTCCACTGGCATTCCTTTCAAAGCCTTCAGGCAATAGGAGCCAAGCGAAATGGAGCATGCTGCAGATGCTCTGATGTTTCTGGGAAGCCTCAGTGGTGGTGCAGGGGTGGTTGTCTCACGGGGAACATGAGACAGGAGGGTTTGCCCTCCCCGAGAGGCCTGCCTATCTCCTGGGTGATGTGTCGTTTCTTCCACTGTCCCAAGGACGGAGGAAGTTCTTTTCCCATCTCTAGTGGGAACATCTCTTTCCTCTTCCCTAAATCCAAGGACCCATTTCTTGGTCAATGTTTCCTCAGATGATGATCATGCTGGGAGCTATCTGTGCCATCATCGTGGTAGTTATTGTAAGTAAGTATCGCTGAGGTTGCTGGTGGGGTGAAGAGGTGGGAAGGTCCTGGAGTCTTCTCCCAGCCCTGCCTGCCTGGGGAATGGGGCTGCTCTGACTGAGGTATGGAGATCGCTGCTGTGGGATCGTCACCTGGTTCGGGAGGGAGGAAGGACAAAGACAAGGGACTTCCTTGATGGACAAGCCTTCCCTCTGCAAGATCCCTTGGGAAGATGGTCCCTCCTGTCCTGAGGAAGTGGGGCTGTGCTGTTTGTCACTGGCTTGGGTCAGAGGGAGACCACGGGGATGGGACACCCACAACTGAAAGGCCTGAATGTCTAGTAACTTGATGTAATTTGCCCTCTTGTTTTCTCCTGTCTCTTTCTCTTTTCCATCTGGGACTTCCTGATTCCTGTGTCCAGTCTACTTTTTTACTTGAGAATGTGCCACCCCTTCCCTGTTCTCCATTGCCATCGAGACTCACATCCCTCTCCCTCTGTTTGCTCTCTCAACGAACGTCCCCGTGTACCTTCCTCCACCCTGTCCTAGCTTCTCCATCGCCCATTCCTCCGTTTCTGTTGCTTTCATTTGCACTGGGTCCCTCAACACTAGAAATGCTGCTCCTGGCACAGTCTCGAAGTAACTCCCCGAAGAACCGTAGGTGGCACCTCCCTACCCTCTTCTTACGTACTCTCAGCTTCCCCCAAAGCCAAAAAGAGTTGGAGGCCAAGAGAAGAGGAAGGCATGTAGCCGCGGTGACATGCCCAAGAAGGTGCCAAGATTGGGGGAGGAGAAGGGTGTTGGTGCCCATGGTGTCACCAGGAAAGGCCAGGCCGCTGGAGGGGGCTGGGAACAGCGGGGAGAATGGCAGCTCATTCAGGACTGCCCTGGTCACTTGGGGCTCTTCTCCTAGGCCAGGCCTCAGAAGAGCCTGAGGTGGGCCCAAAGTCCAACTTGGTTCTGTGGTAGTACCCTTTCAGAAAGTCAAATCTGTTTTTGTGGTTATTTCTGATCTATTAGTCTGAGATTTTCGGTGTCGTCAGGGATCTTACGGCCTTTTGCTTTGTTTTCTGGAGATCTACAGAACACACATTAATTGCAAAAGGACCGGCTTCATTCCCATCTTAGAAGCAGCCCCCTAAGCTCATTACTACAAGGGGCTGTCTCTCGTTCACATTTTCTGCAGCATTCTGTGTTGTTCATGAGAGCACTAAATAATTTCATATAGCCAAAGCTGGAGACTCTGAGTTAGTTTTAATTGTTGGCACAGATAAAGAGAGAACGAGTGTTAATTATAGAGAGACAACGAGTCAAGGGCCTAATTTGAGAATAACAAGCTCAGAGGAAGCCACTTGTTGCCTGTTCGTTGGGGAGGGTCCTGCTCCTCCCTGCCCGTTGATAACGTGTGAGGTGTTAGAAATGAGGATCCTTGGGCCCTTGGGGACTCCTCTCCTCTACACCCTTCCCATGTACTTAGCAAAGACAGGGATGAAGCAGGAGGTCCTTCCTGAGGCTGGCCGATTCTGAGGATTCCGAGAAGTCCAGTATACCCGCCAACCTGGTCTTGGGTGGGAGGCGGGACCGTCTGTGGACAGGTGCGCATGTGCACTGCTGTGCTGTCATGGGCCCTCTTATCTAGAGCCACCTGTCTGTTCTTCCTGCACTGTGTTCCCCTTCTAAACCACTGGTACCCTTCTGAATTCCACTTTGCCTCCTTTCCTTTCCTCTCTGCATGGTTTGTGGGGGCAGACAGTGGAACCTGAGGATGGGAGGCCAAGGCTGGGCTTCAGGATAGCATGTGGAGTGGAACAGACCCAGGTGTGAGGGGAGGAGGGAGGCTGGGAGCAGCAAGGGGGAACACCCATGACCCCTTATTCCTCCCATCCTCCAGCCCACAAGCAGGAAGAGGCTGAGGCCAGGCCGGGCCGGGTCTGGATGCTTGCTTTCCATGCAGCAGCATTTCATTGTGCAAAACCATCCTTCCTCTCCCTTTGCCCTTTTCCCACATTCCCTTCGTCCTGCCCCAGGGCAGGACTGAAGAGCTGGAAGAAAGCAGTCAGTGTACCCTCCCAACGGCCCCCCTCGAAGGTCTCCACTCTCCTTTGGGCTCCTCCTTGCCTAATGCAGGGGGTCACCGCTGGAGAAGAACCACCACTGTCCTCGATGTGTCCCAAGCCTGGAGCAAATTCGCACTCTTGGCCCACCTAGCCCTGGCACAGGAATTCTTTCCTGGGTTTCTGTCCCTCTGAGGCTCACCAGATGTAGTTGGCTTTGTTCTTTTGGGGATGTTTGGCCTTCTACTTTCTTTCTCACCCCACCCTGTACCCTCTTCTGTGTCTTTGCTGTCCCTCTTCCCTCCCACCACCCATGTGCATGAGCAAATATGCAACCAGACCCTGGGACTTTGCAGTCAAATGAAGCCGAGCTTCCCACATCCCCTCTTCCTTGGTTTGCCATGAGGCGATGTGGGGTTTCCACTGTGTGTCTGTCATCACCTTTGTCTTTTTTCCTACCCCCAACCTCGTACTTGTATAGAATAATAACTGTTGTACTTCCACCAAAGGCATGTGGCATATTTACCAACTTCATGTATCCTGAACAAAGGCAAAAAAATATAAATTCCTACCACTAAACTGCCTTGGTTGTTGTCTGGGTTGGAGTAACTGAGGAGGGGCGGGGGAGGGGGTTGTTTTCCTTCCACAGTGTGATGTTGCGTGAGGCCGGAAGGCTGGCTGTGTGTGCCGGGTGGCATTCTCGAGATTAAAGATCTGTGTGTTGGCAGAGGAAGTGGTCTCTACACCCTGCGTTCGTACCTGGTGGGGCCCAACTCTTCCAGGTGCTAGTGAGAGGAAGTAATGACAGGAAGTTGGGTGGGCATTCAGACATCACATCAGAAACCACTGCAGGTTTTCTCAGACACCTCCCCTCTACCCCCTTCCTAGGTCCTCAGGCTGCTCGGCCTGTCCGAGGGGGCACCCAGATGAGGCCTCTGTGAACACATCCTGTTCCCCAGCAGCCTCACTGCCAGTTTTCTTCTGCTGAGTTCCACTGTCCTGACCAGACACATTTTAGAAATGGATGAAAGGAGAAATCTCTCCAAGGGAGTGAGGCGCTTGTAGGTATCCTGAAACACCCAGTAGCTGTCCAAAATTACCTTAACTGCAGCTCAGGGTACACAGGGCAACTGACATGGCGCCCCAGGGCTGCCTCTGAGGGCCTTCGTTTTACACCCTGAACACTCTGCAAGTTGGTGCAGCTGGCTTGGGGACAGGGCTCAGTTGCGTCCAGTGTGGGGAAAGACAAGAAAGTGGAAAAGCTTTGTTTCTGAGGACACAGGGGGCTTTTATTTGGACAGAGTTCAAATGCTTGTGTTACGGCCCAACCCCCACCCCTTTGTCCCACTGCCCCCCACTTGCTCCTTTTTTTAAAAAAAGATTTATTTATTTTAGAGAGAGAACGAGAGCATGAGTGTGGGGGAGAGGCGCAGAGGGAGAGAATCTTCAAGCAGACCCCCCACTGAGTGTGGAGCCCACTGTGGGGCTCCATCTCACAAACCATGAGAACATGACTTGCCCACTTGCTCGTTTCTTAATATCTTCCCATTTTCTTTTCCTACCGCAGGCTCATTTTTAACCTTCACCCAGACACTCTGCTTTCCTACCACTCTCTCACCTCTTCATGTTTTCTCCCTTGGTGTTCAGCCCGGGGACACAATGAAGGAAGGCAGAGATCCACACAGAGCCAGAGTCCCCAGGATCTGTGCCTTCATGCCTTTCTTGGGGCCTTTTTGAGCTCTGAGACTTGGCTGGAGTCCTTCTGGGAGAATGTGACTACTCTTGCCTTTTGCTCAGAGGTAGGAAAGCGGTTACCCAGAGGGCCTCAGAGTCTTGGCAGATCTTGGTGAGGTAGCTAGGAGAAAACAAGAGGGAAGGAGGTTGGTTTCAGTTGAGGTAACCCCAAAAGCAGGGGGCTGTAGTATGGGGACTGGCTGGAACTCAGGACACGGGCTTCATCCCTGGTCTGGGTGGGGAGGTGGCTAGATCTGGCTGATTCTACAAGTAAGGAGGGGCAGGGGCAGGGCTGAGGGCAAGCAGGTGCTTACCTTGCCGTCTCTGAAACCCCAGGAACAACAGGGCAAGAAGGAAGAGGCTGCTGGCAAGAAGGACTCCAAAGGCTGTTTTCTGCTCTGTAGGTTGAGAGCAGCATGGTCAGGAATCAGTAGGTTGGAATAATTTCTAAGCCCACACCCACCCCAGCAAGAGGGAAAAAGCGGGGTGGCGGGGGGAGAGGAAGAGAGAGAGAGAGAGCGTGTGCACGAATGCGTCCCCATCCCTGGTTAAGGAGCGTTCTGGTTTCACCCAGGAACTGGGCACACTGTAGTATTTGTACTTGTTGAAGGTTGTTGGCTATCTGTGTGCTCCTCCACACGGAATTTCCTATCCCTTCCCACCTTGGGACATTTAGAGAGATTTAGGTTAGATGAGTTGTTCACAGGTGAACTGAAATTTTGCGACTAGCTGGGGAATGATGTAAGCTGAGACAAAACCCCACTTCTTTTTTTTTTTTAAAGATTTTAAAAATTTGAGAGAGAGAGAGCATGAGAGGGGAGAGGGTCAGAGGGAAAAGCAGACTCCCCGCCGAGAAGGGAGCCCCATGCAGGACTCGATCCCGGGTCTCCAGGATCATGACCCGAGCCGAAGGCAGTTGCTCAACCACTGAGCCACCCAGGCGCCTCCAAAACCCCAGTTCTGGGGAAGCTTGCAGTCTGGCGAGCCACCAAAGAATGCCCAATGCTCCTGGACGTTTGCATTTCTTCTTTAAAACCTTTCAATGACACTCTGTGACTTTAGGATGACATTCCAGCTCGAAGGCCCATTGTGATCTGCCCACTAATAGCAGTTGAGGGTTTAAGGCTGTAGGGCAGTCAGGCTGCCCATTTTTCATATTTTACCATTTACTAGGTGGGTGACCTTGGGCAAATTACCTAACATCCATATGTGCTAGTTTGCTCATCAATAAAATGGGAGTCATGATAATACATGTGATCATACAGCTAAGTGCTTAGCATAGTGCTTGCTTCATGTAAATGCTCAATAAATGTAATTACTTTCAAGCTTCAGGCCACTTCTCCCTTTTTCCACACACCCCTGGCTCTAGCTGTGCAGTTCCCCAAATTCTCCTGAGACTGTTTTATAATTTGGCCTTCACGTGTGCCGTTCTTTCCATCTTGGCTGTTCCCCTCCCCCCTGAGCTAGCTCACTTGGCTGGTTTGTCTCCTGCAGGCTGTCTTCCCTGTCTAGTCCGTCCCTCCAAGCTGACTAAGCTGCTTGAGGGCAGGAACAATTCACCCTTGATCTCCAGCTCTCAGTATATAGCCTGGTGCCCTGGAACCTGGGGTATAGCGGAATCTTGGGATGTGGAGGCAGCTATGGAGGCTGCCGCCTCGGGAACCAAGAAGCGGAGGCTCAGCGAAGTGCTGTGGGAAGCAGAACAAGGCCAGAGACGAGCTGGGGGCAGGAGAGCCACGAGCCCAAGTAGGGAGGTGGGGCAAGGAGGGCACTCCTAGTACCTGGTGGGGAGACCTGGGTGCTGGCCCTGAGGGGCTGCTCTAGGGAGCTGTGGGTGACCTGGCAGGTGTAAGTGGCGCCTGCAGGGCCAGGTTCTACCGTCAGGAAGGAGGAGATGCTGTAGGTGCCTGCTGGGCTTTGCCGGAGGCTGGAGAAGGAGGCACCAGAGACTGGGACTGGGGCTCCGCCTGGCTCCTCTCGGGTCCACGTCACAGCCATGTCCAGAGGGTAATAGCCAGCGATGTTGCAGATGAGGGTGGCTGGCGGAGTTTTGTTCTCCAAGCTCAGTTGTACTTTGGGGGAAGCTGGAAGAAAGAATGAGGAATAAGATTCCAGAGGGCTCCAACCTGACAGCAGAGTTGCCCAAAGCCTTCTTTCTCTCCCTGCTGGCAGTCAGAGTAGGTTGTGGAAGCTGAAGTCAATTAACCCCTGAGTGGAGTGCCCAAGGCGGGTGTAAGGGGTCCACCCTGGATGCAGGCCAGAAGGGGGCACATCTTCCACAGGTAGTTGAAAAGTGATAGTAAAACCAAGTAAAGTTTGGCTTCTTATCATCATGATAAGCCGCTGATTTTCAGGGACATCAGTGATGAAATACTCCTGCCAGTCGGATGGCTCCCACGGCCCCCACTTGGTTTGCTGCTGCCCCTCCTCAGGATGTGGCCCAGAGGACTGGGCTACTTGGGAGACAGCCAGCTGGGACAGGGCAGCAGGACCCGGGGCTGGGACACCGCCTGGTGGAATTATCCTAGAGTCTGACAGGGGGCAGTCTGTGCCCCTAGGATGTAGATGGCAGTTAGTTCGTGGCAATGCAGTCTGCCTCTCGAGAAATTGCCCCTGTGTTGGATTCTGTCCTGGAAAATGCTCGCATAGGCATATCCCTTCCCCTCTCCCTGGAGAACCGAGTATGGCCTAACCTTGGACGTGGAGCTGGATGATTTGTTGAGCTTGGTACAGAGAGGTGGTGATCTGGCAAATGTAGGTCCCCTCGTCCTTCAGAGTGAGGCTAGGCAGGGTGAGGGAGGCATCCCCGGCCACGAGTAGCTGCTCAGGCTCCAGGGTGGCGCCCTCCCGCTTGGCCTGCCGCTGCGCCCTGGTCCAGCTGTGCACCAGCTCGCCGTTGCCCTTATGACGCAGCCGCCACTCCACACCGGTCAGCTCCAAGCCCGGTGCCATGGAGAAGCCGCAGTGCAGGGAGGCTGACGACCCCAGCAGGAAGTTCAGGGACGGGGTCTGTGTTGTCACTTGGAGCTCCACTGTAGTGAGAAGAAGAAGGGTGATTGTGGGCTACTTCCTCCTTGAGTCCACCTGATCTCTAGCTATGGGCATGTTGTGGGCATCCACCTGCCCCTGCCTCCTCCTCTGGACAATGAGACCAGTTGAGCTCATCTCCCACTAGATGGAACCACAAAGAAATGGTGCTCTGGAAAGGCAGCCTGGCACACATGGTAGTCCTAACTATTTTGGAGTCACTTACCCCTGGACAATCTGATAAAAGCTATGGACTTCTCACCAGAAAAGTACATATGCAAAATTATGGGTTAATGTTGACCTTCAGGTCAGACCACTGGAATAGCAGAAAAAGCTTTGGATCCCTGTTTCTTCCACTTACTAGCTCTGTGACCTTGGGCAAGTCACTAAGGGTTGCCAGGGTCATCTGTTTAAGGAAAGGCTGCTGTGAGACTACATAGGAGTAAGAGTTTTAAAAAGCACACAGTGGTAGTATTTGTGCCAAACGTGCTGAACCTGAATCTAATGAGGAACAATCAGACACATCCAAATGGTGGGATGCTCTTCGAAACAGTGGGCCTGGACTCTCCAAATGTCAGTGCGAGGAAAAGAATGTTCTGGACTTAAGGAAGCTAAAAGCTTGGGGCACCTGGGTGGCTTGGTTGGTTGAGCATCTGCCTTTGGCTCAGGTCATGATCCTGGGGTCCTGGGATCAGGCTCTGTGTTGGGCTCCCTGCTGATCAGGGAGCCTGCTTCTCCCTCTCCTGCTCCCCCTGCTTGTGCTCTCTCTCTGTCAGGTGAATAAATAAAATCTTAAAAAAAAAAAAAAAAAAAAAAAGGAAGCTAAAGGCACAGGACAACTAAATGCAATGCATGATCCTTGTTTGAATCCTGGTCTTTAAAAAAAAAAAGCAAAAACCCAAAAACAAACCAGAAAGCTATAAAGAACATTCTTGGGGCAACTGGAGAAGTTTGAATTTGGACTCTATATTGACAGTACTACTGTATCAATTTTAAAATTTCTTAAGTCTGATGCTCAGTGGCGTACCAAGGAGTGGTGGGGGCGATGGGAAGAGAGTGCCCTGGCAGGGAGGAGTATTTTATCACCAATAGTGTTCAAGATTGCCGATATGGTGATGGTGTGATGGTGAGAATATGTTGTTGAATTCTTAACACACTGTACCTACCCCCTTATTGCCTGCACCACTGTAAACTGCTCCCCACCTTGGTTTGCTGCTAAGGTGATGGTTTTGTGATTATGAAGGAGAATATCCTTGTCTTTGGTTATAAATTTTGTGTTCTAAATGAATACATGCTCTGCATGGAAACTTTTGGGGTGAAGTGTTGGGATATCTGCAACTTACTTTCAATTAGTTCAGGGGGGAGGCTATCTATCCTTCCATTTATCAAGAGAGAGAATGTGGCAAAATATTAATAATTGGGTATTCATTACCCAATTTTTTTACCCAATTCTTTGCCCATTATTCTTTCACCTTTTTTTTGTAGGTTTGAAATATCCCAAGATAAAAGGGGGGTTACTTAGCTGTGCCACTGGACAGATAAAGAGAACTCCTCTTTTCTAATGTGGCAGGATAAATTTAGGTTGCACCACAGAAAGCTTCGAGTGTTCTGGGGCTTCCTACGGATAGGAGGGTAGCCCCCTAATCTCTGGACTTGGTTGTCTCTTTTTGGAGGCAAAATACTGGATTTGATGAATTCTGGAGAAACCTATCATCATGTTCTCAATTTCCTGTACCCGCTGGGTGGGATGTGCTGGGTGGGAGAGGGCAAGGACCAGGTTTTACTAATAAGAGCTAATGAACGAATTTGCATCGCTGTCGTTGCTCTAATCATCTTGAAGCGCCAGACCAGGCTGGCTTTCACTGGGCTACAACTGGTACTTGGCTTAATAAGACTGCTAGGGACAGCATATGTGAATAGAGCATCACAGGTCATTTCCTTAGATGAGGGAGGTGAAAATTATCCCAGAGGTGAAAATTATCCCAATCCAATTATTTGGGTCTTTAGGAGAAAGGACCGAGGCTAGGGGACACCTTGAGATGACTGATGTGGATGGAGGTGGGCTTGTTCCCTTCCTCCTCCTTCTATTCCCCCCCATAGCTGACCACTTGAAAAAAAAAAAAAAAAAACGCCAAACTTTCTTTCTGCTACTTTTAATTTTCTCACCTGCAGTCGGTACCATCCCATGGGGGCTCAAGGGCAGGTTCAGTGTGGGGTGCAAGACAGCTCCATTCTCAGCATCCCTGGGAGTCTTCATCACCATGGAGACACTAGGTCCCCCTCCGGATACCTGCACGTTGGTGATGAACCAAGCTGCCTTCACAGTGGCCTGGAGAAAATAGTGGGAGATCTCACAGGTCACCTCCTTCCCGTTGCAGTCAGCATGGAGCAAGGCCTCGGCCTGGGGGATCTGTACCAAGTTCACTGGGGGAGAAGGGCAGCACAGAGGTCTAGTTGGTTTGAGGACACCTGGCCCTCGGGAACTGGGCTGTCTCAGCAGAGGGAGCTCAGAAAGATTGGGACATAGGGTGGAGGGTTCTTACCCGAGGCCTCGAAGGTAACAGGTGGGTTGTCTTTGGCCAGTGTGCCCCCTTGGAAATCGGTGAAGCCTTCCAGGGAGCCGTCATCCAGCACTGGTACCTGCCTCAGCACGAGCAAGGCCTTCACCGTGTTCCTACTGCTGGCAAAACCTCCATGCTGCCTACCTTCCTCCACCAGGAAGCAGTTTAGGACCACATCCACTGCCCGCCATTGCGTTTCGGCTGCAGGTTAAAAGATGGGGTGAGCACCCTCTTCCCAGAGAGTTGCTTCTGTGCTTGAGGGTCACCCACCCCAACTGTGGAGTCATCAAGGAAGGGGTAAAAATCTTCCAGGGTCCTAGCTGTCTCTTTGTCTCTCTCTTGTCACCCCCAAACCAGCCTTCTGGGAAGCCCCTGCTACTCCAGGTACATACTTGGTATGAATTATTTAAAATGCTGGATTTGCCTTGCTCAGAAGACTTTGTTTTTATTCTTACTACAACTGTCGCAAAAAAACTACCTCTTCAGTCAAAGGAGTTCTCAGCAAAAGCAAATAAATGAGCAAAATTGCCACTGGGAGAGGAGACAGGACACTGGTGTGGCTAGGGGCCTTGGCAACCATCTTCTCGATTTCCCAGCCAGCCCACTGGGTCTGCTCCGCTTTCTGCCATTACAGGTGGCCTTCCCCTCCCCCACCTCCAGGGCTCACCTCCCGCGGGGATTTACTAGCCCTGGGAACCCTTCCTTTTCACGGTCTGCTCCCAGGCAGTGCCCTCTCGGCTAGGCCCCCACCACATCCACCCAGGAGGCCCCTCTTCTCTTCATTTGGCCTTTCCCACAGTCTTCTACCCTCTCCCCAACACCATTGGTGTCCTACTCTGCCAGCCTTCTTCCTTGATTCCTGTTGGGCTTAGGAGGCGATAGGAAGCCATCCCTGCCCCTCCCCCCAACCCTTTCCCCTTCGGGAATCTCACGGCAGGTGGCTACCTGGTGCGCCCTGGGCCCGACACTCCCCCCCCCGCCCCCCCAGCCAGTGCTCCCCACTCACCTGGGTCAGCCGCCACCCGGGACAGAGCCAGGCAGAGCAGCAGGCACCATCCCTCCCCCGTGCCCATGGAGGCGGTGCGCCCGCCACTCGTCTCCCGCGTCCCCTACCGCCCTTCTGCACGGCCTCCCACTGGCACGGCCGGGCTAGGGAAGAGGCGGCCTCTCCAAACCGCCCTCGCCGGCCTGTTGCTTTCTCGTCAGTCCTTGGCCTCCTCCTCTTTCGCTTTCACTTTGTCACCGCGGCTGCCTTTGCCTGGGAGTGAAGCCACCGGGTGCTCCTGCCAGAGTCCTGTTCATTGTTCTCCTTTTTCTCCCCTGCCAAATCCTCTGGTTATCTCAAGACCTGACTTGACTGCATGCACCCTTTTGCTCCCCACCCAAGAAAGTGGAGCTGAAATAAGGGGGAGGGGGAAGGGCGAGACTGAAGGGCTACTGGGGACCTTTCTTCATTTTCTGTGGGTGCCACACCCACTCGCGACCCCCACCCCCCGACTTGGCCGGGCCCCAACACTAGTCTGCACTGGAGAAAGCTCCTCCCTCAGATCCCCGATCTGGGAGAAGAGGCTGGGAGTGGCCTGCATCGTGAGATTGGAATTTCAGAGAGACAGCGCGGGGAGAGCTTCGGTGTGTGGTTGGCTGGCACTTTATTTTGCCGAATTTTTAGGTCAGTGATACCGCACGTGGTGGTTCGTAGGGGAAAGTGTGTTCTCCAGCTAGGGCCCCAGCCCTCCAGTGCAGCGCAGGGGTGAAGGTGGCTGGGCCAGGGCACACGCGGGGCCCTTGCGCCCCATCCTCCACCTTTTCCCATGCGCCCTTGTCACTGCCAATCTCCAAAAGACACTTTCTCAAGTCTGCGCACAGGAAAGGGTCCTGATGACAGGATGGTACTGAAACCCGGGGGTGGGGGTGGGGCCGGGGAGTGGGGGGTGGGGGTGCCAGGTCTCGTTCCCCGTGGATGGCTGCTGGGGTGGGATGGAGGCAGGGATTTTATTGTAGTGTGACCCCCCCCCCCTCCCCCGCCCCATCCCGCTCCATCCCGCCCCATCCCGCCGTGCGCGAGTTCAGGAGTAGGAAGCAGGTTCTGGTTTTCGATAATCTTCCTGAATGGGGATGGCGCCGCCCTCTTCCTCCCTGGGGCAGCTGTAAGGACAAGGCTCTGTAGGCACCACTGGACTTTCTTCTTTGTCTGCGGGAGGAGAATCAGATGAACCTTGGCGGGCAGTGGGGTTGGTGAAGGGAGTGGAGATGAGCCAAGGAGGGTCAGTCTGGGGGAGGGCTGTGGGGGCTGCCAGCTAAGAGGAAAGGAAGAGGAGGTGGGAGCCAGGATTGGTAAAGATGGAGTGAGGAAGGCTTCTGTGAAGTTCCAGGCATGGACAGTGGGGCTGGGGTGGTAGAGTAGGGTGCAGGGACAGGACTAGAGACCTGTATTTTGTCTCTTACTTAGTCTGTGTTTTCTTCGTTGATGGAAGAACAGGGCTCCGATCATGATGAAAGCAAGAAACATTCCAGAGAGAATCACAAAGGTGCGGATGCAATCTGAGCTGCACAGGGACCTTTGGGCTGTGATAGGCAGGGGCCATGCAAGGGTTTTTGGAGAGGGCCTACATCTCGTTTCCCCTCAGCCCAGGCAGCCTGTCACCCCTCCTCCCATCTCTCTCCCACCCCTCCCCCACTGCTACCACTGGACTAAGTTCTTTCCTAATCCCTAGACTCTGCTTCTTCCCCTTCTTCCCCTGACTCCTAGGAGCTTTCTGGCTGGCTTCCCTCTCCTGTATGCAGTCTCTCTGGGGGTAGAGAATGGGGAGAAAACTCACGTGGCCAGTGGGTTGAGAGAGCTGGGGCAGGCAGCCACCTGAAGTCAGCCAGAGTCTGCACCTGCCGGACTGTCCTGGCTTCCTGCATCTCTGGAAAAAGAGACAGGGTGAGCAGCAGGGAACCTCCTAGGGCACAAGCCTGGGCTGAAGGAAGGCCTGAGGCCTAAGAGGCACCGGGAGATGGGAAGGCTGACCGACCGGATGGCCAGGCAGCTTATGTGGGGAGGGTGGCGGTTGGGGCACGACCCTTATCCCCGTGACTGGACAAAGTGTTGCCTGGAACTTACTTTTGGCATAAGGTAAGTGGGTGGGTTGTGGGTGTGGGCCCGGGGCCCGAGATGGTCGAGGCAGTGTCAGCAAGGGGTTTGAAGGAGGATCACAGTCCGTGCACTCCTTGTCCCTGCACTGCCAGCCCTTGGGGCAGGCACACTCTGCATTTGTGGTGAGGGTGCAGTTTCGGATGAGAAGACCTAGGGAGGAACACAAGAAACTCAGGCCTCAGAGACCTGCCAGGCACACTTGCTAAGTCCTGTCCTGGGCTCCCCTCCCAGGCCCACCTCCGGGGACTCCTGCCCCAACTGCACAAAGGCCTGCCCCTCCCTCCCTGTCACCCAGTGCTTCTGACCCAGTGACTAGTGTCATTAAAGGAGACACTTGGGGTTTTTCCTTTATTCATGGTTCAGCAATGCCAACTGTAAAAAGTAGAAACAGCTCGCAGGATTTTCTCTCCTATTCACTGGCACTTTGATAACTCCTCATTGAAATATAATGGGTGGACAGAGAGGTACACAGGTCATAAGTGTAAACTTGCTACAAATTGGACCCACGAACAAGAGCGGCAGCGTTCCTCTCTAGGCACTACGTCCTCCCATGCACAGATGGCCACTAGCCTGACTTCCTAATGCTGCAAGTTCATTTTGCTTATTTTTGTCCTGTATTTGTGTAGTCATGCCTGGGTACTCACTTGTGTCTGACATTCTTACTCAATCCTTTGTGAAATTCATCCATATCGTAACTGCAGACCGTTCATTCTCATGCTGCATAGCATTTCACCGTATGAATATACCATGATTCATGTGTCTGTTCTGTTAATGGGCATTTGGGTAGTTTCCAGTTTTTAAGCAATCAGGAATAGTGCTGCTATGGTCCCCAATAGATTTTTAACTTTACTAGAGAGTTCCTTGATTAGTAAAATACTTTGCCTTTAGAATATAAATTTTATTCAAGTGTAGATGTCAGGTGCTGAGTGACTGCCGATAAATTATACTAGGGGAGAAGGATGTGAGTGGAACTGGGCTGGGTTGGGCTCACAGGTGGTCAGGGTTAAGAAGAGGAAGGTGATTCTGGGGAAGGCACCAGCACCCGGATGTGGGCCAGGCTTGAGCCTAGCCTGGTGGGGCCCTGGGACAGTGCCTTCCTGACAGGCAGAAGAGGGGTACAGAAAGGAAGGCTGGAGGATGCCAAAGATGATGACCAGGGCTCTAACAATTCCTTTAGCAGATGCCTTTTGTCAGGAAAGGGAGAGGGACACAGATTCCTTCTTCCCATCCTTATGCCCCTATGGTTGCTTCTTTTGGAATTCTGACTAGTAGTTGCTACCAGCATTTGGTTTCCTTGTGGCTTACCAGGAATCGTGAGCCAGCCTGGACAAGGGTCTGCAGGACGAGAACAGTGATGGGGGAGGTAACAGTGACCGTGGGAGAGAGAAGAGATAGGCAAAGGTGAGGAAGATCACCAGAGGCGGTGGTCAGGAGGATATCTCCCCGGAGGGAAGAAGGGTTAAGGAGAGGGCTGGGCTTGGTTACCCGTGGAAGGATTGCCACGGTTTTCAGTGATGAGGATCCAGAGACCTGGGAGTTCTCTTCACCACATATAACCTGTGCCCCAAATTCCAGGCTGATGTCAGGCACTTCTCCATCTTACCCAGGGGAACACTGAGGTCCAGAGGGGGCCATACTCATTCAGCCTCCCCCTGACCACCTCACTCCTGGCCACCATCCCTTGGAGTCCTGCAGCCAGTCGCTGCATGGGTGCTATGGAGGCCTCTGGGCTGAGTCTTACAGAGAAGGGTCATGGAGCACAGCAAAGGGAGCACAGCTCAGTATTGGGAAAGGCCTTCTGGTGGGGCCTGCAGCGAGTGGGGAGGCCCTGACCAAAATATTCCAACCCTGCTGGGGTTGCTGCTAAGAAGAGAAAAGCATCCCTTAACATATTTTTAAGTGGACTGAGGAATACTTGTGTATTTAAGATGTTGTTTTTTGACTGATTGGCAATGGCAAAACCTTTTGCTGAGTTCATTTTTAAAGAGGACAGTGTAAAAGGCCTACTGAGACCAAGCACATTTTATAGGTAAGCAGTGTAGTAGTTCAGTTCTGGAGTCCTCAGAAGGGTCCCCAGGGGGAACGTTTGTTCAAAGGGGCCGCTTTAGAGTCTGTGACTCTATCCCGGCTGGCACAGTTTCTGAAATTCTAGCTAAGCTGGAGGAATAATAAAAGAATTCATAACAGAGCTGCAGACATTTCACTTCTTCATTTAAAAAAGATAAAATTACAAAATAAACAAGAAAAACATGGGCCACATACATATTCATTTTCCTAAATTGGCTTTTGTGCAAAAAAAAAAGACAAGAAGAAGGATGTCCCCACTGGCTGGTATTGTTGTACCCTAAGAAAGAGGTACTCCAGGTTCCAAACAAATGCGTGCTTCAGACAGCCAGGTCATCAAGGGCGGGGGGTCGCTTATCTGAAATCTGGGGACCTAGGGCCACTTCCTTCCTCCCCTGTTTTTCACTTACTCCTTTTTCTTGTCGTGATCTGAGTTGTACATGCAGTCTTGGCAGCCCCCCAATTCTGCTGACCCCTTCCCTGTAACACCAGAGTTCTCCCCGCATCAATATGTGCCCTGCCCTGCCCAGTGCCCTGTATTGGCTCCACTTGCGGTAGCCTCGAAGTGACGAGCTCGGACCCCCTCCTCCTTGCTTCTCCACACCAAGCTCTGCCACCTTGCTCCCCCAGAGGCTTGCCCTTCTCACCGGAGTTACAATGCCGACAGCTCTCACAGTGGCGCCGGGAATGGTGGTCTGGTGAGAAGGAGGCCCCCGGGATGCACGGGTCACACTGAGCAGCCTCGCCAGTCCTGTCACAGTCCTTCACGAGGAAAGTCCCTGTGAGCAGAGGTCCAGGGTCAAGCCCAAGGAAGGCCACTTCTCTGCCCTCTTCAAGGTGGTACAGGATTCCTGTCCTTGCTTGAGCTCAGATGTGCTCTCCGCTGCCTTTCCCCCCGGTGGCGAGGCCTCCTCCTCTTACCTGGCTTACACGCCTGGCAGCACAGTTCTCCCTGGACCCAGTAGTGCTTCTCCGAACAGCGCTTGGGTGCTGGGGTCGCCGAGAGCCCCGCCAAGGTCCCCAGAATCCACAGCCAGCAGGGCGGTGGCCAGGCCATGGCTCTTGCCCAGGGAGCTCTTTCTGCGCTCCAGTTGCTGCCGGCTGGCCTCCGTGGAGCTGGCCCCTCCAGCGGGTGCTGGTGCCCTAGTCTCTGTATGTCCCGGCAGCAGCCGCAGGCCCTCTTCAAGGTGCCGGCTTCGGGTGGCAAGCCAACCTTTGATGG